CTCTCTCTCTCTCTCTCTCTCTCTCTCTCTCTCTCTCTCTCTCTCTCTCTCTCTCACACACACACACACACACACACACACACACACACTTTTGCTCACACACAAACGTTTGCTCTCTCGCACACATCTAACAAGCCTTGTCTCATCCGTCCTATTTCACCCCGGCACGTTGTTCTATTATTAGAACAGATTTCCTATTAAGAGCCGCTCTTGCCTGCTGACGATGTGATTGGGCAGCTTGCCTTCTCTTCTCCCTCTGTACTCTTCTCCAGAAAGAGACCTGTGATGGTCGATCACCCGTAGCCCTCCTCTCCTCTTCACCCCAAAAACGTACCTTGCCTTCCCTCTACACGACAACCGCGCCTCTCTCTCTCTCTCTCTCTCTCTCTCTCTACTGACATCGGTTCCACCTCTGAATCTTCGGCGGATATCTCGCGCTATGCTGTTACATTCATCACCTTCTTTCGCACCTTGCCTCCTACTCCTCCTCCTTCCTCCTTCCCTGTTTGCCACATCCTTCTCTCTTCTCCATCCTCTCTCCTCCCTCCTCTCTCTCCCTTTCTTCTCCTCCTCCACTTGTTCCCTAGTCGCCTTTCGGCGAATCCTCTAGTCACCTGTTCATCCCGATCCCCCACAACTTCTTTATTTTTTTGTCGTTTTCCGCCTTTACACGGGCCTCCCGCTGGACCCCGTTTTCACCTGGCTTTGCTGGCATCGCGGCATCGCGGCACAAAGAAGCGATACTGACGACGCACATGGACTTACCTGGACGTATCCGGCTCCAATTACGCTCAGATTCATTCCCCCCAAAAGAATTCTTAAAGTCTGTCAGCCTATACGCTCAACAAATACCGCCGCGCCTCCCCTTCTCTCTCTCTCTCTCTCTCTCTCTCTCTCTCTCTCTCTCTCTCTCTTTTTCCGCTGCTTTAGCTCTCCTCCTCCCCCTCTTCCCCTTCCATCATATTTCCCCCCCCCCCCTCCCGCCGGGAATTCCTCCCACCCCTCCCTTCCCACCTTTTCCACCTTCTGTCGCTTTTTCCCGTCCCGCCCATTCCCGCTCTCCTCAGGTTTCCACGTGTTCGCTGTGGAGGCGACGGCACTGCTGACGGGACGGCACTGCTGACGGTATACTCACATACTCACAGAAACTATACAAGTATATCTGGGGACGAATCTAGCCTCGTCTCCGACCACGTTCACGCAAAAAATCCTAGGTAGGTAGTTCCAGTACATTCTGCTGATTATTTCGCCCCTCCCCACCCCCCGCTCCATTTTTTTTTTATTTTTATTTTTACCGCTCCATTTCGCAAAAAATCCTTGGTAGGTAGTTCCCTAGGTAGGGGACTCCGCCTCCTCCTCTACGGCAGGTTCCTTTTTTTTTTCTTTTTTTTTTTAATTGCCTTTTGCGTGGATTCCCTTCCCTGTTCTGGACCGTAGATTAAAAGGACCCACGGGCAAAGGTCCTCGCTCCGATCCACTACTGACCACATGCACAAAAGACAAAAAATATGGCGGTGTATCTTTCTTTTTTTTTTCTTTTTTCTTTTTTTCAAAAAAGACACTTTTATTCCGAAAACAGGTCGGGGCCGGGGACCCCACAATTGCCCCCGGAGTTATCCTGGCAGCATCATCCAGTTTAGCTTAAACCACCAGTACTTGGGCAAGCGGCGCGGGCTGTAGATACGATTTATCGACGGCCCGCCGGTAGCGAAATTCCCGTAGCGTTAACTAAGGCGTCGCCCAAGTACTGGTGGTTTAAGGAGTAGGCTAGTCTAGGCACAGAATTGACCAAATCTAGGCACAGAATTGACCAAATCTAGGCCGCTGTCCTGAAACCACTCCTAGAAAACAATTCCAGCACAAGCCTTAAAAACCAAACAAACCAAAAACTACCCTGCCCATCCTACTACTGCTATACTAATTTCACAGCATTAACTACCCACTAGCCTACAATCTATCAACCCCAATCTGAACATGTCTGATACGACAGGTGGTCCCAAGATGACCAAGTACTCTGCTGGCGCTCCCTCCACAAGAAACCCTCTGCCATCCTACTGTGGAAAAAGGAACCGAGCACCCAGGTTCTGCCTGCCAGCTACCCCTCCATTTGTCAAATACAAGCTTGCCCCCCAAACCCCAAGTCTCTCCAAACCAGCTGCCTGATGATTTCTTTCCTTTCCTTGTCTAGTCCGCCTGGATCACACATCTCAGTGAGGATCTGAACAAGGCCCTGATCTCCCTTTTCGTCATTTCCCGGTCTTTGAAATTTTGCAGGTTGCGTTGTCTCCATATAAACTCACATCCGACTGCCCTGGACGCTTGGGCAATGTACCCCCAGCCTTTTTGAATATCCATATCGTCTGGGACACCCCCCAACAGTACCCACTGACGGTCCCAAGTCATACAGTTACCAGAAATCAGGACTCAAAAACTCTGCCACCAATCCCATACACATTTCGAGGCCGGGCAATCATACCAGAGGTGGGCAGTAGATTCATATGCCCAAGAGCAACGTTTGCAGGTAAGCTCCACCTGTACACCCCGCTGAACTAACATAACCGCTGAGGGAGTGGCTTGGAGAGAGAGAAGCCAGAGATAGGCTGCAGAACGCAGGTTTGGAGCTTGTAGCAATTGAGACCAGCAACGAGAGATAGCATTTTCAATACGGTTATCCTCCCAATCAATGACTTGCCTCCATCTTGAAACGGCCACCTGGATTGGGCGGCGCAAAGAACGCTGGGCAGTATAGCCCTGGGGCACAGAATAAAGTGTTAGGGGGAGGTCTTCTCCCCCTACCCCTGCCCCTTTCCAACCCCATAACTTTGGATCTACTTTCAACTCCATCAACATTTTACCCTGGGCGTACATTCTGCAAACCCACTCTCCTTCCTCATCACATTCTTCCCAGATTCTTACTTGGGACAGTTTTGAACCCAGAGGTGGGTGCGGCTTATCCTCCCTTAAAGCTAACAGGCTGGTATTGGGCAGAGTTTGCCACAACTGGAATTCTCTGTTTCCACTCAGTTCAATGTTCGTTAACTTCCAAAAAACAGGTGGGCTCTGCAAAGGTTGTGCTATATACCAGGTTCCAGGAGGATCAATCCCTTCTGGACTCAAGATAAGACACCATTCAGAGGGGATGGCTTGAATCAAGGTGGCCAATCTTTCTTCTACAAGCCAAACCGGACCCAACCTTGCTCTCAGTTCCGTCGGGGAGATCCATTGGTTGGAGGAGAGTCCCAGATGTCATTTATTCGTAACACCCCTCTCTCTATCCAACTTCTGCCAAAACTACCACCTGTGGCCCCAGCTGAAAAGCAGGAGCCATCTTCCCTCCGGATATAAGGATTATCGAAGAGTGGTTGAAGGAGAACTTCCACTTTCGTAACGGGTTGTAGCCAAGCTGTTGGTCTGAGTTTCTTCCAGGCCGAAGTAATTGCCTTCCAAGAGTCAGATTTAATGACTCTATTTTGATATGAGTTCAACAACAGACAGGTCCAGACATCCGACGGTCTACTCAAGTTCCATTCTGAAGCCAATATAGTTTCCGCTAAGGACACCCAATGAGAATCTTCCACAGAACACACAGCTCTGATCATCCAACGTACCAGCATTGCAATGCTCTTCTTCTGAGGGTCAACCAAACCTAGGCCACCTTCTGATTTAGGGAAACACAACAGTTCACAGGCCACTTTTGAAAAGAACCCCTCGTCTTCTTTAGCGAACGGCTTCCATATAAATTTCACCGTACGCCTCTTTATCAGTGCACATAAGTTCTTTCCCAAAGGCCTGACAGCAGCTACAAACCATAATAGAGCAAAAAGAGCACTATTGATAACCAAGGCTCGTCCAAAGATTGATAGGTGATAAGCCTTTCCCCATGTGGACACTCTCTGCATTGTGCGCTGTAACAAAATACTCTCCTGATCAACTGTGCAGGACAGTAATGCTACCTGTACACCTAGAAATCTCTCTGAGTCACCCGATTTAATTCATTTCATACCGCAATTTACTACCGGCTCATGAGACGACGGCATAAAAAATACTGATTTTGACCAGTTTACGGAAGCCTCAGATAACTCTGAATATTCGTCCAAACAGGATTTTAGAGCCAGCATAGATGATTCAGTGTTCTCCAAAATTGCAAATAAATCATCAGCCAACGCTTTCACTTTACATTGCGAGCTTCCTGCATCCAGGCCCCTGATAGCCCTGTTTGTCCTAATATTACAGAGGAGATTCTCTATTTGCAGCACAAACAAGAGCGGAGCCAAGGGGCAGCCTTGGTGGAGAGATCTGGAAAGAGCGAAAGGTTCAGAGAGGTTACCGTTAACCATTACGGCCGCCGTTGACGTTGAGTAAAGCGCTACCACCCAGTTGCATAAATTCTCCCCAAATCCCAAGTGTCTGAGCGTGGTAAGCACATACGCCCAATTTACCCGGTCATAAGCTTTTTCAAGGTCGAGCATAAGGATATAAATATTAGCATTCGTGTTCTCTACTACCTTCAGGGACTCAATGGCCGTTACTATATTATCGAATATAGAGTGGCCCTGAACAAATGCCGCTTGGTCCTTGCCCACCAGAGCAGGCAGGTAGCGACCCAACCGTCTTGCCAAGACTTTGGCCAACAGCTTATATGACACATTAAGTACGGAAATGGGTCGCCAATTCCTTATTTCAGACCGATCCCCCTTTTTGTACAAAAGTGAAATAACTTCGTTTCTCATTCCTTTAGACAATTTTTTCCCCAGCAAGACCTGATTGTAGAGTCCCAAATGAGTAGGTATAGCTCAACGGGAAGCCCATCACCTCCAGGGGCTTTCCCTTTAGCCATAGAACCCAAAGCCTCCCACGCTTCCTCCTTTGTGATCGGGCGATCTAGATCCAACTTACCTTGGGTAGGTAGTCTGACGGTAAATGATGACCAATGATTAAAGCCCTCTGTCAGGTCGGTGGTGATATCTTTTTCTGGCCTTCTTGTCCTTAAGATATCTTGCGTAAAAACATAGCTGAGTTTGCTCTCGTGCTATTAATCGGATGAAGGTTCATCCGATTTTCAGCAAACTCAATTTTCTTAATTAAGGATTCCTCCTTGTTTTTTCGTCCAGCGGCTAAGATCCGAGAGAAAAGGTTCAAGTGGCTAGATAAAATACAAGAGCCTGCATCCCACCATTCCGCTCTCGACGGAAAAGAGTCTAAGTTCTTCTTCCAATCAGTCCAGAATCTGTTCATCCAGTCTACTACTCCAGGGTCTGCAAGTTGACCCTAAAGTAGCCTGGTCCTCTCTCTGGTTTCAAGGAGTTGAAGCTGGCACAGACTGACTTATGATCAGAAAGGGTCTGTGGGCGCTCAACAATATCCACTACCGCTTGCCAGGCCGCAGGGGACAGGAGAAAGTAGT